TACCAAGTGATTAAGTCTCTATTGTTTAGATGGATAAAAGAAAGCCTACAGGATTAAGTATTATATCTTAACAAGAACTTGCGTCTATGTCTACATGAACTGAATAATTCGTTCCTTTGATTTAGAGTACAAATTTCGGGTTGGCATATAATGAAATACTTCTCTTGTATACAAAGGTTGCATCGTTTGGTAGAGTTAGAATATGATTTACATTTAGATAATATACGCCATTTAATTTTGTACTCTATGTTATCTTCTTTAAGCTTCCAAACATATTGGCTGAGTGTAGTGTTATTCTTGTATTTATCATTACGGAATGAGCATGTATGCCCGTTGTATCTACTTTTAAATGTATTTTCCGTAAGACCAATGTATGTTTCAACTTCATTATTGTCGTCCCTACTAATTGTAGCTTGGTAAACTACGCTGCTACTTAGACATTTCCCAGATAGTGGGCATTCATTATGGTTTCGGCAATTGCATAGCTTGCAGTTGTCTTCTGCCTTGTCATTTTTTAGTATGGTTTTATTATGGGCAGAGATTATAGATCCTATATCTGTCTCTTATACACATCTGACATGTGTTCCTATTAAAAATCTTTCTTAATACATGATTTTGTGGAAAACAATCATCTATAATTCTAAGGAATACGTGGCCAATTCTAGTTTTTACATTACTACTGTAGGGTGGATTAAACCAAATAACGTTCTTTTTTCTTTTCTTCTTGTTAGTGTGAGTGTTAATAGAAGGGTTATATTTTAGTTCATATTCAAACCCGCTTTCATGGTCATGTGTTCGTTAACGCGCGTTGTGTCGGCCATTTTCGCCTATAACAGGCATTACAGCCTGCGCACGTGAATTTATATACAACGTTAGAACGTAGACCACTAGGGACAGGATCTTTCACAGAAAACATATTTCTAATTTTAAATGAAGAAAAAACTAATTTGATATTTAAATCATTACAAAACTGTTTCGTTAAAGCATTTATCTTATGTAAAATAACTTTAGAAAATTGACCAGTGTAAGGCAACTTAAAATAACGGATATTCGATTTTTCGTTCGTTTCTTTGTTATTGGAGTGAATAAAAACAAGATATCTAGATATAATTTTGTCAATTAAATGCATTGGAAACATATTTTTTCTAAGGATAACAATTAAAGCCTTCAGGTCACTATGAAAACCTAGCCAATTATTGTTGATCTTATAGGCCCTAAGTTCTGTCAACTAAAGTACGAATCAATGAAATTTTGTATGGAAAAGAGCAAAAAAAAAAAAAAAAAAAAATTTGTGAGTAATCCTGTGAAAGTGTTTTTTCGATATACATTGGTTTGGGTGGATCCGTTATTAGATTTTGAAACTAGAACATCAAGGAAGGGAAGTTTGTTTTCCACTTCAGTTTCCAAAGTGAATTCTATGTTGTTATGACGCGAGTTTAAATATTTAAAAAATGAATTAGCCTCAGTTTCTGAATTAAATAGGCAAAAAATATCGTCAACGTACCGTTGATAGAATAGCACATTAAGTCCATGATATTGATCAAGCCAGATCTTTTCATGGTGCCCCATGAATAGGTTTGCAAGCACTGGGGCTAGAGGGGACCCCATTGATACCCCATCCACTTGATCATAATATAAACCATTAAACAAAAAATGAGTTTTTTTTTAAAGATCAGATTTAGTTATGTTTAAATATTGGTCCCAAAATTGCAGCCGGTAAAGATAAGCCCAAAAGTATCATTGATTAATAAAAGAAAACCCCTTACAGAAGAAGTATTTAATTTTGAACTTGTGTCATGTGAATTTGTCTTTAAATATCTGAGTAATCTCAGAACAAATAAAGCAACTGGTGTTGACAATTTACTCCCATACATTTTCAAAATTGTTTTCACACGACTTGCTCCAATCATTACCGGTACGCAATTATAATTCATTCGTTCACACATGCTGTTTTATGGTGATAATTCGAACCAAAGTAACTATCGTCCTATTTCTATATTAAGTTTTTCTATACTAATAAATTTCATGTGACAAAAAATTGTGATGTGCCCATATATAGGTACGATGACGTCATATCACATACTATCAAATTGTATAAAAAGAAGTTGAACATTTTCCATCACATTTTATGTGACGCTTTTTTGATGAAATTTGACAGTGTAGACAAATCTTTACCTATAATTTCAAAAATAATAGAACGTACTGTATTTGATCAATTGTATGCACTTAAATGTTAACTTAATAATATGAAAATTATGAAAATCAATCAGGTTTTCGCCCATCGTACTCCACACCCACAGCACTTGCCAACGGTACTGATATACTGTAATCAGTATAATTATATCGATGAGGGCAGGATGGCGGTCTGTGTATGCTTGATTTAAAAAAAAAACATTTGATACGGTAAACCATCAGATCTAATT